CTACAGAAAAACAAAGTATCATGAGAGACGACTAGAAGCAACTATATGTCAATACAATGGACAACCTGGAAGAAATGGAAAAATTCTTAGAAAAATACAGCCTTCCAAGACTGAACCAGGAATAAATAGAAAATATGAACAGACAAATCACAAGCACTGAAATTGAAACCATGATTAAAAATCTTCCAACAAACAAAAGTCAAGGGACAGATGGACTCACAGGCAAATTCTATCAAAAGTTTAGAGAAGGTTAGAGAAGAACTAACTCCTATCCTTCACAAACTCTTCCAAAAAATTGCAGAGGGAGGAACACTCACAAGCTCATTCTATGAAGCCACCATCATCCTGACACTAAAACCAGAAAAAGATACCACAAAAAAAGAAAATTACAGGCCAATATTACCGATGAACACAGACGCAAAAATCCTGAACAAAATACTAGCAAACAGAATCCAACAACACATTAAAAGGATCATACACCACGATCAAGTGGGGTTTATCCCAGGAATGCAAGCATTATTCAATATACACAAATCAATCAACGTGACACACCATATTAACAAATTAAGGAATAAAAACCATATGATCGGGCTTCCCTGGTGGCGCAGTGGTTGAGAGTCCGTCTGCCGATGCAGGGGACACGGATTCGTGACCCGGTCTGGGAGGATCCTGCGCCACGGAGCAGCTGGGCCCGTGAGCCATGGCCACTGGGTCTGCATGTCCGGAGCCTGTGCTCCGCAGCGGGAGAGGCCACAGCAGTGAGAGGCCCATGTACCGCAAAAAAAAAAAAAAACCCCAAAAATCATATAATCATCTCAATAGATGCCGAAAAAGCTTTTGACAAAATTCAACATCCATTTATGATAAAAACTCTCCAGAAAATGGGCATAGAGGGAACCTACCTCAATATAATAAAGGTCATATATGACAAACCCCCAGTAAACATCATTCTCAATGCTGAAAAAATGAAACAATTTCCACTAAGATCAGGAAAAAGACAAGGATGTCCACTCTCACCACTATTATTCAACATAGTTTTGGAAGTCCTAGCCACCGCAATCAGAGAAGAAAATACACTAAAAGGAATCCAAATTGGAAAAGAAGAAGTAAAACTGTCACTATTTGCAGACGACATGATGCTATATGTAGAAAATCCTAAGGATCCTACCAGAAAACTACTAGAGCTAATCAATGAATTTAGTAAAGTCACAGGATACAAAATTAATGCACAGAAATCTCTTGCATTTCTGTACACTAACAACAAAATATCAGAAATAGAAATTAAGGAAACAGTCCTATTTATCACTGCAATAAAAGAATAAAATACCTAGGAATAAACTTACCTACAGAGGCAAAAGACCTGTATGCAGAAAACCATAGATATTGATGAAAGTAATCAAAGATGACACAAACAGATGGAGAGACATACCATGTTCTTGGATTGGAAGAATCAATAATGTGAAAATTACTATACTACCCAAAGCAATCTACAGATTCAATGCAATCCCTATCAAATTACCAATAGTATTTTTCACAGAATTAGAACAAAAAAAATTTATAGTTTGTATGGAAACACAAAAGACCACGAATACACAAAGCACTCTTGAGAAAGAAAAATGGAGCTGGAATCAGACTCCCTAACTTCAGACTATACTACAAAGCTACAGTAATCAAGACAGTATGGTACTGGCACAAAAACAAAAATATAGATCAATGGAACAGGATGGAAAATCCAGAGATTAAACCCACGTACATATGGTCAATTAATCTATGACAAAGGAGGCAAGAATATACAATGGAGAAAAGACAGCCTCTTCAATAAGTGGTGCTAGGAAAACTGGACAGCTACATGTAAAAGAATGAAATTAGAACACTTGCTAACACCATAAACAAAAATAAACTCAAAACGGATTAAAGACCTAAATGTAAGGCCAGACACTATAAAACTCTTAGAGGAAAACATAGGAAAAACACTCTTTGACCTAAACCACAGCAAGATCTTTTTTGACCCCTCTCCTAGAGTAATGAAAATAAAAACAAAAATAAACAAATGGAGCTTAATTAAACTTAAAACTTGCACAGCAAAGGAAACCATTAACAAGACCAAAAGACAACCTTTAAAATGGGAGAAAATATTTGCAAATGAGACAATGGACAAAGGATTAATCTCGAAAATATACAAACAGCTCAGGCAGCTCAATATCAGGGAAACATACAACCCAATCAAAAAATGGCCAGAAGACTTAAATAGACATTTATCCAAAGAAGATATACAGATGGCCAACAAAGACATGAAAAGATGTTCTATATCACTAGTTATTAGAGAAATGCTAATCAAAACTACAACTACCACCTCACACAGGTCAGAATGGCCATCATCAAAAAACCTACAGACAATAAAGCCTGGAGAGGGTGTGGAGAAAAGGGAACTCTCTTGCCCTGTTGGTGGGAATGTAAATTGAAACAGCCACTATGGAGAACAGTATGGATGTTCCTTATAAAACTAAAAATAGAACTACCATATGACCCATCAATCCCACTACTGGGCATATACCTGAAGAAAACCATAATTCAAAAAGACACATGCATCCCAATGTTCATTGCAGCACTATTTACAATAGCCAGGATATGGAAGCAACCTAAATGTCCATCAACAGAGGAAAGGATAAGAAAGATGTGGTACATATATACAATGGAATATTACTCAGCCATAAAAAGGAACAAAATTGGGTCATTTGTAGAGACATGGATGGACCAAGAGACTGTCATACAAAGTGAAGTAAGTCAGAAAGAGAAAAAGGAATATCGTATATTAATGCATACATGCAGAATCTAGAAAAATGGTAGAGATGATCTTATTTGTAAAGTAGAAATAGAGACACAGATGTAGAGAGAAAACTTATGGTTTCCAAGGGGGAACAGGGGCATGGGAAAAATTGGGAGATTGGGATTGATATATATGCACCATTATGCATAAAATAGATAACTAATGCAAACCTACTGTTTAGCACAGGGAAATCTACTCAGTATTCTGTGTGACCTAAATGGGGAAGAAATCTAAAAAAGAGTGAATATATGCATACATATAACTGATTCCTTTTACTGTACAGCAGAAACTAACACAACATTGTAAAGCAAATATACTCCATTAAAAATTTAAAAAGCAAATAAGATTAAATATTGAAACATGCTTGCTAAAAATAAGTTTATTTGCTTTTGTTTTGGTTTTGAACTTTATTTTATTTATGTATTTTTATACAGCATGTTCTCATTAGAACATGTTTATTTACTTTTGACATATTGTTTTATATGGTACAAAAAGCTTGATATATTTAGATCTGTTAATAAACATGAAAATTGTACTATGGAAAACATGACTGTAGAAAATGATGAAATTATGTATTCACAAATTTGCTACTTTTCATAAAAGAGAATAATTGTGTCCTATACTAGAGTGATTGGTTGTTCCAGAATGGGAAAGATAGAAGAGTAGAACAAAAACTGACTGAGAAGCCCATATATATGGAATATAAGAAAAAAAATGGTTCTGAAGAACATAGAGGCAGGACAGGAATAAAGACACAGACATAGAGAATGGACTTGAGGACATGGGGAGGTGAAAGCATAAGCTGGGACGAAGTGAGAGAGTGGCATGGACATATATACACTACCAAATGTAAAATAGATAGCTAGTGGGAAGCAACCACATAGTACAGGGAGATAAGCTCAGTGCTTTATGTCCACCTAGAGGGGTGGGATAGGAAGTGTGGGAGGGAGACGCAAGAGGGAGGGGATATGGGGATGTATGCATATGTATAGCTGATTCACTCTGTTATACAGCAGAAACTAACACACCATTGTAAAGCAATTATACTCCAATAAAGATTTTAAAAAAAAACAGGAAAATAATTGTAGAGAAATCTTGGGGAAAGACTGTTATCTTGTGTGGTCAAAGCTATTAAGATTAAATATATATGTATTTTAATGAACATTAATATAACAAGTATACTGGTACAAAACTAGAATTTGGTTTTCTTTCTTTTTCTTTTCTTTGAGAAGCAACTTTTTATTTATTAAAATCACATAAAAGAAATCCTAATGTTGGAAATTCCTCCCATGATTATCAGTTATTTTACTGACCCCTCATTCCTCTGAACAATGAAACATCAAACTAACCCTTACACGCAAATTTATACATTGACAGAGAAAACAGAAAACCTTCGTTAACTGAACAAATGACCAAATGTGATTTAACACACGCGTGGACCTACAGTCTGTCATACAGAGTGAAGTAAGTCAGAAAGAGAAAAACAAATACCGTATGCTAACACATATATATAGAATCTCAGAGGAAACAAAAAAGGTCATGAAGAATCTAAGGGCAAGACGGGAATAAAGACGCAGACCTACTAGAGAATGGTTTTCTATCTCTGTAAATATAATTGTTTTCTTAGATTATTCATCTGCTCTTAATAAGAAATCATAAAAAGGGTATTTCTTTGCCTTTTAAGTAATCTGCCTAGGAAACGAAGATTTTGTGCCTTAGAATAACTTCCTGTGCTCCATGTGCCTTCATCAGGTCTTTGACTACTTAAGAAAACCAAGTATTCCTAATTGTAAAAGAGATCGTTTTTTTAAAAAACAATTATGTAGCCTTCTGTATTTGTCTTTGAAATATTTTATTGTCACTTTAGTTAAATGGTAATCAAGACGCTATTTAATCAAATGTTCAATTTTTTGACATTTGTGAAAACTTCCCCAAATCAAATTCTAAATGTAGTCTTATTGACCTAGAATAAACTTTGAAATCTCCCAGAAATCCCCTGGAAAATCTCAAATTATTTGTCTCTCACCTTATAAAAAAGAGACTTTAAACTAATTGGGTTTATTTGGTATGTTAAATTATGTGGGGAGCACTGTCAAATAAGCAGTGATGATAAGCCTTCTTTAGTTGTAAGTGCATAGATATATGTTACTAATATAGTTGTTCCAGAAGATCTATGAAGTTAAGAATTTTCAGAACTAAAGAAGAAGCTGATGGATTTATAAAACTGCCAACTCAAGGTCAGGCAGAACAAAAATTAATCACAGGGATGTGAATGAACTGAGGATGATTGTAATTTTTTTTATGATTCTTTGTTTAAACATTGCTGGTTCTTTAATGTTTTGTTTCCCAGATTTAAGGAAATTTTTTCTCTTTTCAATAAAGTTATTTATAACTTACAGCAATTTGGTAAACTATACCTTTGTGAACAAAGATGAAACAATTATTCTTTCTCCCTGCTTGACCTCTCTAGAATACAGAAACTCTCCATGAGTATTCTTATTTCCATGGCAATATAGTTATTTGAATAAGCTCAATAAGAATCTGTTCCCCTTGTAACAGGACACAATTGGAAACATTGATGGTTATATTATCAAGGCTTTGACTGGAATATCATATTTGAGAATGATGTGCATGGGATCAGATATGACCTGAGAGTTTAAGGAACTAAGATTGACTTTATGAAGCCAATGTTAATAAAAATGTTTTGGAAAAACCCACTTGGTGTCTTCCTTACAGGGTTCCCAGCAGCTTTACCAGGTAAGTAAAGAAGATAATTCCTGGCAGGCTCAGGAACATCAGGATATGTTTTTCGACCTCAAAATGAGAGGAATTCACCCAAATCTATTTAAAAAATACAGGTTTAGTCTATTGTCAAGTTCTTGGCTTGACTTCCCAGTTTCAAGAGGATCTGAAAAGTCTAAACTGGCATTCCTTATGAAAATTTCCAGCAAAGCAAATTCAAGAGACCTTTGGGATGACTCACTATTCTTTCTGTGCTTATGTAAATATCCAGGCCAAGTATAATGAGACTTTCTGCAAACAAGTTAGTCTTATTTTGACTATCTTTGATATAAATGGGAGGGAGTGTAGAGGGGAAAATTCTGTTTCAATGGAAAACTGCAGCACACCTTTGTTGGTATTAAATTCTAGTCTCATTCATTGTATTTAAAGTTTCATTACCTACCTGTAACTGGATTGAGTTCTGAATTCTTGTAGTTTCTTCCAATGTGTGGCTGTAATTCTCCAAACTAATGTTTGCATTTTTCACTTCTGACTTAAAATTATTGAGAACTAAACCTTCCCTTGTCCTGAAGTCCTGAAAGCTGAATCTGGATGACTTGACATAAATTTCAAAGAAATCACAATGGCTCATGTATGGGCAAACTTTATGCCTTCTCCTGTGTGGGCCAATAAGAAAGTTCACCAGAATAGTTAGAAACTGGGTTTCTCACTAATTAATCTTTGTTCTTCTTTTATTTTCATAGAAACATCCCTCATTAAATGCATGATGGTTAGCACCATTCAGTATACACCCTTTACTATCAAGTCTCAACAGGTGATCCAGCTGGTCCTTAATAACAGAAGGCAACTGACAAGAAGTAGCCTTACCTTGTTCAAAGGAAAGAAGAATGTATCCTCTCCTGGAACAAGAAGGGGCCTGGCCAAGATTCGAACAGTAGTCAGGCTCCTGGGCTTTCTCCTAAGCCCATTGTGCACATCCTTGTAAAATCCAGTTTTAACAAGAACCTCGGTAAGTTGAGTTTAGCCAGAATTACCGCCTCTAGATATCTGATGGGGTCCTGAGCCTCCACCTTCACCCCTGGCCTGTCTTCAGTAAAGAATCCTGTTAGGTCAGTTTAGCCAGAATGCCCCTAACCCTTGATGTTTCCTCTTAGTAATTTTCCATCCACTGATCCCCATCCTGCTCCTTGGCTATAAATACCCACTGGCTCTGGCTGTATTCAGAGTTGATCCCCATTTCTCTCCCTCACCATAAATTCCCATTGCAGTGGTCCCTATTCCTGGTGTGAAGGTTCTAAATAGTCTTCTTACCATCTTTAACCAGTGTCATTAATTTTTTTCTTAACATATCCCATATGAACATCTTTTTATGTTCCAGTTTTCCAGTGCCCATAATAACCATTTGGTCAGGCCATGGGCCACTGCCCATGAGTCTGTAGAAACACAAACATAGGGATGCTTATTATGGCTCAATTCTTCCATCATTGCAAGAAAAAACTGTGAAATTCATCCCTGGGCTGATATGTCTTATCTTCTTCAATCAGAAGACTTCCATCAGTCATTCTGAGGTGGCTCGCTATAAAGGATGCTGTCCATCCTTATTGGAACTGTTAACCACAAACTAAATATCTTTTTGGACCGTTGGAAGCAGTGTACAGGGAGCTGCAACCTGGCAGCTTGTCAGGTGTTTCAGTCAGCCCAGGGGAAGAGAGGCTATCTGTATGTGGATATAATGAGTACCTCCTTGAATTTCCCTATTAGCATGTTAATGTACAAACAATTTCCATTTTGTTATGGAACCCTTCTGGATATTGTCTTTCTTATTAGAGTGTTAATCTGACATCACTCAAGGCATTATAAATATTTCAGATTTGAACATTATTTTATGCCCTTCAGTTAAACCTTTTACTGCTCAATGTCAGTCCTACAGACTAGGCAGTTGGTAAAATGATTAGGCAGGTGTGACCAAAGGAAATGTAGCTGAGTCTGTACTGTTGAGTTCTCTTCTTTAAGTGGTTATCTGCCATGTACCAGTCTCCCCCTGTGCTTGGTTCTAGTTCACCTCTGTGTCCTGAGTGTCTCCTGAAAGCCTACCACTATGTAGTATTCATTTACTCTATATAAATTTAATTAGGATTTTAAAAATCAATGCAGTAACTTACCATTAAATTTGTCAGGTCATGTGGATTTCACATCAGGGAAACTTGCACCACAGCCTGGATCTGCTGCAAAGTTCTCTCTTGTTCTGGGTCCAACCCAAACCTCTCAGCCTTAGAAGTTACCCAACATATGAGTGACAGCAGAATTTCCAAGTGTACACTTTCAAAATCCAAAGACATTCACCAAGGGATATGCCTCTTTCCTTCTTTCTTTCTTTCTTTTTAAATGTAATCATCAGTTTTACTGGTATAAAGGATATGCAAAACATAATTTACAAATAATAAAAATATAAACAACATTCCTTCTTGTAAATACCATATAGCCAATTGATTCTCCATAGAATGTTTTTGCAGACTTTTGCCAAACTCTTATACCCAAAGTCAAGCTATAGTTTGTGCCTCTTTCTTAATGACATGTTTACCATTGCACCATTAATGCATACAATAATTTGTCCTTTACCTTGCAGGAGATATCCTAGCATACTCTAGACTAACAGTTGTTAAAAGGTTGATTGTGTATTATTGGGGGTCCTTGAGAGCATTTTAGTGGGGGGTGAGGTCAGAATAATTCCATAATATTAAGAAGATATTATTTGCCTTTTAAACTTTTTAACATTTGTACTGATTGGGCAAAAGTATGGTGGGTAAAATCTGCTGATGCCTAAACATGAATTAATACTGTGGCACTAAATGCACCAGTACAATGTATTTTTCAACATCATGCATTTGTAGGAAAAAAAATTGAAGTCACTTAGGAATTCCATTGATAAAGCAGTAAAAATTATTAATCGTATTAAATTTTAGCCTTTCCATGCATATCCTTTAACTACTTTATGTGAAGAAGTTGGAAATCTACATGAAGAGGTTCTGCTACATTTTCAAGGATGGTTGTCTAGTAGAAAAACACTAGTATGACTGGTTGAATTGTAAACTACACTGCTTTTCTTCATCAGACACCATTTTAAACTGAGTGACAGGTAAACTGCAGTTATTCAGACACACTTATCCATTTTTTTCCCAAAAATGACAGAGAGCAAGAACCTTCCAAAAAAAAAAAAAAAAAAAAACTACTGATAACATCTGTTTCCAATGGTAAAATGAGGCCTTTCAAGAAAAAATTAGAATTTTGGATAGCTTTTTAATACTTAAAGACTTTTCTTGGACTTCCCTGGTGGCAAAGTGGTTAAGAATCTGCCTGCAAATGCAGGGGACATGGGTTCAATCCCTGGTCCAGGAAGATCTCACATGCCACAGAGCAACTAAGCCCATGTGCCACACTACTGAGCCTGTGCTCCAGAGCCCTCGAGCCACAACTACTGAGCCTGTGCAGCAAAACTACTGAAGCCTGTGTGTCTAGAGCCCATGCTCTGCCACAAGAGAAGCCACCACGATGGGAACCCATGCACTGAAATGAAGAGTAGCCCCCACTCGCTACAGCTAGAGAAAGCCCTCACATAGCAACAAAGATTCAAAGCAGCCCCCCAAAATATATATACATACTTAAAGATTTTTCTGATGAGAATGGTGGTGATGTTAACAAAAGTGAGCTTTTGATAATTCACAATAAAATATATCAACATTTGGAAGAGGTGCATGACTCAGGGAACAAACATTTCCCAAACGGTTAATGCATGATGTTACAAAACTGTGCTGTCCAATATGGTATCCACTGGTTGCATGTGGCTATTTAAATTTAAATCTTAATTGAGGTGAAATAAAATTAAATATTTAGTTCTTTAATCTCACTACCCACATTTCAAGTTCTCATAGCCACATTTAAAAATAACTACAACTTGTTGAGTGTTGATGGCTGCCATAGACTAAATGTTGGTGTCCCCCCACAAATTCATGTATTCCAACTTAATCCCTGACATGTTGGTATTTTTTGAGGTGGGGCCTTTGGCAGATAATTATGTCATAAGGTCAGAGCCCTCATGAATGGGATTAGAACACTTATAAAACAGACTGCAGAAAGATTCCTCACCCGTTCCACCCTTTGTGCACACTTGGAAATGACAGCTGTCTATAAACCAGGAATGTCTCACCAGACACCAAATCTCCTGAAGCCTTGATCTTGGACTCCCAGTATAAAACTGTGAGAAATACATATCTGTTGCTTATAAGCTACTGAGTCTTTGGTACTTTGTTAGAGAAGATCAAATGGACTAAACAGTGGTATATCAGAGAATATTCACACATCTACTTCTACAGGCAATGTGTTGCACTACATTGTTTTGGTTGAGGTATATGAAGAAAACCTGAAAAACCTAATGAAATATTTTCCTTTTCTCAACTATATATCTGTGTGAGGACAGATTTTCTTCATGTCCCTTAATCAAAACAAAATAGTGCAACACATTGAATGTAGATGCAGATATGAGAAGCTAGATGAGTACTATAAAGTGACACATGAAGAGATTTTAAAACATAAATCCAATATCAGTTTTCTAACTAAATTTTTTGAAAATATAGCTATTTTCAGGAAAATATTTTAACACATAGTGGGTTTATTGTTTTTACTTTTTTAATGAACAAATGCATAGCTTTAAATTTTCTCAATTTAAATTTGTCATCAGTAAATAATGACAGATTTAACTCACATAAACAAAAATCCTTTTGTATACTCAAAAATTTTAAGTGTGTATAGAGCGTTCCTAATATCAAGAAGTTTGAGAACCATTGTTATACACTATTGGATCCCTAAAAAGTTCACTGAAGTGTTTTACCTACTTCTCTATCACATATGTATATTACTAGGCATCCAGATCACTTGTCTTAGCCAAAAAGGGACAAGTTTTGAGGGAGATCTTCCATGGAACTAAGCCCTTAATATCAAAAAGGATTATATAATTCAAGAATAGTAGTGTGAACACAACCATAATAGGTGAAGTCCGTGTAATTATCATAAGAAACACTGCACTTTGGGTTGATTTTTATAATTAATAATTCATTCTGGAGAGACCTTCAAGATGGCAGAAGAGTAAGACATGGAGATCACCTTCCTCCCCACAAATACATCAGAAATACTTCTACATGTGGAACAACTCCTACAGGACACATACTGAATGCTGGCAGAAGACCTTAGATTTCCCAAAAGACAAGAAAATCCCCACGTACCTGGGTAGGGCAAAAGAAAAAACAGAGACAAAAGAATAGGGATGAGGCCTGCACCTCTTGGAGGGAGCTGTGAAGAAGGATATGTTTCCACACACTAGGGAGCCCCATCACTGGCAGGGTCAGGGGGTGGGTTGTGGGGTAGCTTCAGAGCCATGGAGGAGAGTGTAGCAACAGTGGTGCAGAGGGCAAAGTGGAGAGACTCCTGCACAGAGGATTGGTGCCAACCACACTCACTGACCGAGGCAGGTGGGAGTTGGGAGCTGAGCCTCGGGCTTCAGAGGTCAGACGCCAGGGTGAGGACTAGTGTTAGCTGTGTGAAAACAGGCTGACGGGGGCTAGTGTGCCACAGCTAGCCAGGAGGGAGTCTGTGAAAAAGTTTGGACCTGCTGGAAAGGCAAGAGACGATTGTTTTGGGGTGCCCGAGGAGAAGGGATTCTTTGTGTGCCCACAGAAGGCAGAGAACTGCCTAAATGAGCTCCAGAGATGGGCATGAGCCATGGCTAACAGTTTTAACCCCAGAGACGGGCATGAACTGCTAACGCTGTGACTGCTGCCACCAAGAATCCTGTGTTCAAATACAGGACACTACCTAACGCACCCCCCCCACCCCACCCCTGCCCTGGGAGCCTGTGCAGCACGCCTCTGCCAGGGTTCCATGATCCAGGG